AGAGGCATATTTGTCATTACTACTTGCTCTGCAGATTTTACTAACTACTAACTAGTCTAAACATCGTGTAGGTTGTACTACTGCACTTTTCCTAGAAATTAATAATGAACAACGTTTGTGAAATTATCTTTTATAGTTATAGCAACTAGCCATTTTGATTTCGTAGAAATATAATCAGTAGATTTCAAGATATATTAATTTAAAGAAAAATGTTACACATGCTCTTATTCACCTACATATCTTACATCTCACAATCAGTTTATTCTACATCAGTTAATTTTTGATCAACATGTGTGACAAAGGAAATCGATTCTTCAATTTCCGCTCCTGCTATATCTAATCTTTTCTTATTGTTAGTCTAAATATAGTATTTCTTCACACATTTTTCATTACCTTAATGACTTGCTATACTAATTGATCCGTATAACTGATGAAGAATCTCTGTTACGTATCATAAAATATAAATAGAAATACTAAAGTGGAAATATTTTTCCTTTAATCGCATTGACAGCAACATTTTCCCCATCGATATGAATGCGATTTAAATACTGTACTCTGTGGCGAACACGGGTTTTTAAAACGATTCCAGCAAAATCTGCTACGAACATATCGCGTCCACTTTTTTCCCGAGCGCACAGCAAAGAGAACGGATGCGATTCGGAGAGGTAAGGTAAAAGACCCAGTTATTGACCCTGGCCCAGTTTCTGACCTTTTCAACTTTTTTTGGAATTAATTAAAAAACTATACATTTAATGTGAAAATAATTTTTTTTCTTAATTGACAGTAATTTATTCTATGCCTCATTAATGTCAATTAAAGAAATATAAAAAATATTAACTAAATAAAAAAAAAAAATTTTAAACCAAAAGTGACTGTGGAAGCCATTTTTTAGCTTTAGTCTAAACAGTTTATGTAAGGATCTACGACAATTGAGTTCGTGCACTAATAATGATGTAAGTACGAAAATCTAACTAAAAATATACAAATAAGTCAATAATTAATTAAAATTTATTTTAAAATATTTATAAAACATATTAAATTTAGTTTTATTACTGAAATTTGAGGGTCAATAACTAGGCTCAATTTTAAGTGTATGTCACAGTTGTTGACCCTGCAATTCTAACCTTCTAAAAGCTAAGTTATCTGTCACATGTTTTTAGTCACTTGTTCATTAAATGTAAAAATAATAATATTTATTGTTATCTTATATTTTTTTTACTATTTTTCGTAGTAAAGTGATAAATTTACATTTAATAGTCATTGGTATAAATGAAAGATTGTATTTAAATATTGTAAATACATCTTTTAAGTCATAAAATTATTAATAATTTGAAGAAACGAAAAGCTAAGGAAAATGTACCGACAGTTTATACATCTGATTCGTGGTTAAAATATCATGACGACAAAGAAGCAAAGAAACGAAAATTAGAAGAAGAAAAAGAATTGAAAAAAGCTGAAAGGTCCAAAAATAAAGCCATCAAGGAGGCAGAAAAAATAATTAAAAAAGAAAAACTTGAAGAAAAAAAGAAACAAAAAGCTCTTAAAATAAAAAAAAAGTCCAAGTAATTTAAATAATTAATTTTAATTTTTTTGTTTGTGTAATATGTTATAACAAGACTTGAACTATTTATACGCTAAATTTTAACAAACTGTATATTTTTAGAATAAATATTTAATTTATTTATTTTAATAATAATTTTAGTTTATTTAAAATTAGTAAGCACTTCATAACCTAATCATGATTAAATTTGAGGGTCAGAAATTGGGCTACGGTCAAGGTCAGAAACTGCCACACGAAGAATTCTGAGGGTCAGAAACTGGAGCTCTTAATGTCAATTTTTGAAACGTCAATTTAAAATATAAATTTAGTTCAAATAATTTTTTTATGCACATTACTTTATTTTAAAAATCCTAAACTAATAGATAAAATTATAATTTTCTTCATTAAGTTAAGTTTTATATTAATTATTATAGTTTAACCTCCACCGTCACTCTAAAAAGGTCAGAAACTGGGCCCCTTACCTTATATAGAACGATTTTGTGGAAGATAAAAAATATAATAATAAAATAAAATAAAAAATGCCGAGCAAGAGTCGAAAGAGAGACCGCAACCGGGTTAGGAAAGACGGGGTAGATGTTTCGCTTGTTAGTGTCTTTCGCGCGCCCTTATCAACGCTCCAAGGAAATAAATGTTACAAAATGGCGAGGTGATTTTTTACGCGCCTACGCTATGGATCTACAGAAATATTTTTATAATTACCATCTTCAGGATAAAAATTTGCCGCGGTTCGTGTTTTTTTTTATATTAGTGATGTGTTTTTGCACTGAACATGAAAGCACGATACGTTAGCGGGATTTTTGTTTAAATTTTAACTTTTGTGTTAGGGGTGAGTTGTAACATCAACCGGAGCAAGTAGTATAACGGCAATAATGCCTCTGATAATTTATTCTTCACTTCTTTTTGAGAAAATTGGCTTATTTCTAATAATAAGTAATTCTTCCACGCAAACTCTACTTAATTAAATTGAAATTAATTCATAAGTTAATTATGAAGAAACAAACCGGTCCATTTTACCAAAAAATAATTCTCAACTCAGCAATTACCAAATGATATCTTTGTTTGCAAACTTTTTTGTAATTATCTCACTCGATCGTCGCGCAAATCTAATCAGTCAGATTTTCACCAAATTGTCTTACAAATTTTTGAAATCGGTGCAGCCATTTTGAGAAAACATTAACAAAAGTTGAAATTTTGACTCACATACACACAACCTTTGAAAGTGACTTGGAACGTCGAGAAAATATAAAATCAGCAAATCGATTTTTTTTTTGCAAAAATATAAACATCTCATGCGAAAAGTTAGGAACTTGACAGCATTGTTTGCAAATATTATAAGAATTTTATGTTCTTAATATTTTCCTAGATACTTTGTAAAATCGAATTCTATACAATCTTTCTATTTATTCTATTGTACTTGAAGTAGAAGACTGACTACTTCTACTATTGTCAAATTATTTGTCATATGTAAATTAATTATATTATCTTTAAATTTACTAGATATCGACTTAAGATAGTTGTAAATTATATGGTAAAATAAAAAAAAAAATTCTATTGATGCCAAGAGTAATTTATTGTATAATTCATACGTTAGAACTTATGATCGTTAGTCGATAAGAATGAAATAAAATAAATATGATCAGTTTAGACATCACAACTTTTTTCAAAGTAAAATATAATATTAAATTTAGTAAATAATTAAATTGTTCTTGATGAAAAATTATATACTGAAACATTTGGCAATAATTTAAATAATAAATAATAATTTTCAAAAGTCATTGATTTGTTTAGATGATTGCCTTGAATTCCTTTTCACACATATCTCACATTAAAATTAAAAATAACTTTATATATATATATATATATATATATATATATATATATATGTTGAAAATGTTTAAATTTGATGTTGAAATGTATGATTGATTTCTTGGAGGGCGTAACATCAAGTAAAAAAAAAGAGAGTGAAGTAAAGATTTTTTTCAAAACATCTTTATTTTTCCATACGTTTCGACGTAAAATTCTACGTCATCTTCAGTGGTTCTACAATTTAGAAAACAGAAAGTAACGTTACAATTTGAATATACATAAGCAATAGTAAAAAGAAAAGTTTTAACTAAAGAAAATTGCAAAAAAACATTACTTACTTGAATTATTTATATTATCACTAACACATATTATTATAACTTGTAAAAATTAATAATTATAGACAAGCACTAACTGTCAGTAATTTCTTTTTTTTTTTAATAAAAAGAATAAAAGATAAAAAGTGATTAATAAATAAAATATTATACGTAATACACTTGCATCCGAGGCCAGTGCCAAACAGAATAATATGTTTGTAAGTGTCCGAGATGTGAAGTCTCTTTTTTTTTACTTGATGTTACGCCCTCCAAGAAATCAATCATATATATATATATATATATATATATATATATATTTTATATATATATATATATATGTGTGTGTGTGTGTGTGTATACCTATGTATATATGTGTAAAATGAGTATACGAACCCTAATTTACATTTGAAATAAAATGAAGGATAATTACTATAATTATTTTACATATATTTAAATGCTTCACAACCCGACTAGGATATCCGGGTACATTTACAAATTTATATTTGCAATACACAAATTATATAACAAAAACAAATTTAAGAACCGCATTCATAATTAATGATTTACAAATTCGGAAACACGCCCTGATTTAGTTGCTCATCGCTCGATAACATCAACAAAAATTTGTTTTCTCCCATCGAAGCATTGTTATTTTGCACATTTTACTTTCGCACACAGCATCTACCTCTGTGTAATGTTATCTTTTTCCGAAAAAAGTCGAAAAAAGCATCTCGCGAACGAGATATTAGGTTGAACACAACGCGGAAGTGCGCCGAAGAAAATGAGATCGGTGCTCTGCTTTCGCAATATGTAGCATCTTAAGACTATTTTGTAAAGGTGAATGCGGGTTATTATCGCAAAGGAAATTAAACTATGAATTTTTAAAAATCATATGCTCGTTTTCATATAGCATATGTAAAAAAGTTGAATACATGCTGTATATGCGTATCAAGTCACTCCTTCGATAACTCAGGTTGTTAGGCTATAATTTAACCTTTGGAGCTGTGTACTGTATGAAACAATGAATTGTTGATATGTTTTATGCATTTGTTGCAAGTTTTTTTTACACCCATGACTTGTCACTAAGTTCTAATTAAAATGTTGTTATGCGAACTTAAGTTTTAGAAGTGAGAAGTAAGCTACAAAGGTAGCAACTTTCAAGTACAAACTCTCAATGCATTGAAGATTGCTGCTTCATGGCCAATATAATAATATGAAAACACGTCCAAACACATGCAATGGTAAATTAAAATTGTAATTTAATTGTAATTGATTTAAAAAACAGATTGTTAATAGGTAAGAAATATTCAAAATATTACCTTATTGAATTATTCTCTCCTTGCCTCACTTGCTATAACTGGAATAATCTGAAATAGAATAAACAATACATTAATAACATTAACTCAATGACAAGGCGTAAAATAGTTAAAATTAAAAAGTCTCCAGAAACTGCTTCGATTTTGTTCACCTATTTTTGAAATTTTTGTTTTTTAATTATATTTGAAATGAGAAACATTTCAGAAGAGGTAAATTTATTTTTTCATTGTATAAACAATACGGTCGTATAAGAAAGTAAAGCAATAAACAATATGTGAAAAAATAAGTTTTTGAGTATCTGTGAAAAAAAATTCGTGTATTAATTTTTGTGTTAAAAATAGTTATAAGCACAATGTTCAAAATTTACACCATAAATATTTCTTGTGTGAGTTTTTCTTTAAGATCAATAGGCGTCATTAGTTTTATTTGCACCAATATTCAAATTGAACCAATTCCGTTTAAAATTAATGAACCGATTCTGCCGCATAACAGACAAATGTTATGGCAAGGCTAGGCTATGTTATGAAGAAATTTCCATACAACTTCGTTCTAAGTATTGACAAAAGCCATGTGGTTGATGTGGAGTCAGGCGTTTTTCTCAGGTTATCATATAGAAAACCTAATCTAGAAATCGCACAAATGTCAAAAAAACGATCTTAGATAACAGGGTCTTTTTGATTCATTATCAGCTTTATAACATACGAGTGACGTTGCAGTTTATGTGTAAAACGCCTGAATGCACAGCAAATACATGACATTTTGACAGTATTCAGTATCAGTGCAGTAAACGGTGAGGTAAAAAGGGTATAACCTCTGAATTATTTTACTGTGCTCCGATTTGCATGAAATTTTGGAATTAGATTCATCTTACCCTAATGTATGGAAGATGAAGCTTAACATGGCCTTGCCATAACAATGGTCTGTTGTGCGGCAGAATCGGCCCATAGATTTAATATGAAGAGTTGCTGCTTTCTAATAGTTTGGTTGCTTTATAATACATATTAGAAATATTTTTAATTTTTACAAAAACCACCTTCGTTTCATAATATCTCGAAAATTATGAAAAATAAGTTTGAAAGTATAATGATAAAAATTACTCGTCAGAAAAGACCTACATTTTTAATATTATACTTTTATACGTATCTTTTATAATTTTCGATATATTGTAGAGAAAACAAAGCTAAACATTACAGGATAGTTTTGGAAAGCAGACACCAAAAAATATTCGTTTTTGAACCCCAAAATTTTTACGAAAATAACTCCTTGATATTACCATGTTGCAAAATGTGTTTCCATTGAACTCAAAAAACACAATAACCGTTTGTAACTTAAATACATTTGAACTGCCAACGGATTAAAAAAAAGTTTAATGTAGCGGAATTAATCGTTTAAGTAATAAAGGGTGCATTATCCTGAATGTATCGATGATCAGCAGGCGTTTTGTAAACGTCTAGACGTCGTTTGGTAAACATATGTTATATTATTCAAGTATGAAATAACTGGGAAACGCATTACCCCATTTGGCACTTAGCGCCTTGAATCATTTTTCTTTTCACAACAATGTTTCTGATGGCCGCCAAACATAACATAGTGGACTAAAATGAGCACGAACGCGAAATAAGATTAAAAACCGTTTTCAAAATCGAAATACTTTATTCTGCCGTAAATTATGATTAATGACTGTGAGATTATAAACGCGCTATAATTTACGATGCAAATCACTGTTATATATTACCCGCAAAAGTACTGCCGCTCTGTTTTAGATGAGTATTAGATAAAGATTGCTGAGTTGCAGAAATATTTATGAAGCGTTCCAGATAAGAGAAAAAAGAAAAAATCATTTGGTATAAAATATTCATTTGCTTGATGGATTTGGAAACTCGTAGAACATAATTATTCAACGTAAGAAATTTATGTCGTTAACTGATAGCACAAACAGCCTATGGCGAACTAGTAACTATGATGTTCGTTTTTACTTGGAAATATAAATTAAAAACTCGTTTCTAATTAAGCTATGAATAATTGAACACCGCGATGTTATAGACAATGAGATGTGTAACACCGATAAAAAAGGTCGGTTTAAGAAATTATATCAGGTTCAGTCTTGAGGTCAAACAATTCTTTACTACTAACTATTTATCTACTTTTTAACTTCCCATAGTAATGGGCCAAAAATCGAAAATGAAAATTTTTGCATATCTTCACGTTTCATGAAGGTTTCTGAACATTTTGGCACACCTCAGAAAAAATGGATGTGTGTGTGTGGATACAATTTTTGTCGGCGTTTCAGGAGTTCCGCTCAACCGATTTGAATGATTGAAACAGCAATCAATTCCTACTGATGGGGATTAGTGCTGATTAGTGTTCGGAAAAAATCGGACAAGCCGTCTCCGAAATACGAAGCAAAGAGTGCACAAAATATAAACTCGGTTTTTGCAAAAACCTGGCTTCCGATTGGAATGATTCGAAAAATATTCAATTCGTAATGATGGGGAAAAGTGGTGATTAGTTTATGGCAAAGGCAGGTCCAGTCATTTTGAAGATATGAAGCTAAATGTGCAAAAAGTGGCAATTTTTGAGAGAACTAAGCATCCAATTTGAATGATTCAAAGAACTTTCTGCTTGTGTTGACAAAACAATTGCTTTTGGAAAAAAAATATTTTAAAATTATTTTTTTCTTGTATATCGAAAACAATTCAGATTTTAATTGTAATTCTAACTAAAGTTCTAAAGGTCACTTATATAAATTTAAATAAATAATTTTAATTTTGCAATTCAGTTTTATAATTCTTATAAATATTAGACAATGTTACAGCATTTATAATAATCCATTTAAAATATTTTATATTCCTCGAATATTTCGTTGCGGTACGGAAAGTTCCAGCAATTTGCCTTAAGGCACGATGCCATATACCACTAGTTATTTTTATTTTGGACGTGAATCACAACAATTCTTAGTGTCCTATAAGCTGCTGTGCAATGCATTTCTTACTACTTAGTTTTTTTTAAAAAAAAAGCAAGCCAATTGTTATCATTTCTAATTGTAATTAAATTTCTACATACTCCTTTTCATAATATCTTACATCTTATTACAGCAAAGACCACGAAATTGGCTGATTTCACTTGAAAACATATCACTACTGCTTGATATCAGGTTGCCCAAAACAAGGGTTTGAACCAGAGATCTTGTTGTAATTATGAAGTCTATCACATATGTTATGTGATTTTTTATTATGATTTTAAAAATGACTGGATGTAGCTTTTAAATTTGTATTTTATCTACTTCAGGAACAATTGATTTAATGTCTCATTTAGATAAATGATCAATCTAATAAAAATATCGTTTATATATTTGTGTATCTGTAACAGAGATTTTTTCCAAAATAAGTTAACACTTTTACTCATACTATAGAAATCAATGGATTTATTTTTGTGTTCTACAAGATTTGAATTTGCAATACGTAGTAAAGTCAAATCAACTAAAATTATTCAGTCATTTATACTGAACAGAATATTTTGAAAAAAAAAATGTGATTGTCATAGACGTATAAACATGATAAAGAGAATTATTATTATTACTTTAACGAATTTAATATATAAGTTGTTTTACAACCGAAAAAGCTGCGTCATTATTTACTTTTACTTTCATAAAACTTCTATTACTAAATTTCATATATCCAGAATCTACATCAGACATTCTCTAGCAAAAACTTACTTGTTGCTATGCTCTGGTAACCTAATATTCACCTCGAAATATATGAAAATCAACGTCAAATTCAAATTTAAATAAAGAACGACGTACAATAAACATTATGTGGTAAATATTATATGAAGGTGTTAAATTAAACTTTTAGTTTAAAGTAAGTCTGTAGTTTCGTACAATTTCTTTAATAACACTACTTAGTAAACAGATTGACTTAAAATATAATATAAAATAGGATTAAACCAGTCGTTTTAAAAATTATTTATGTCTCTAATTGTTATTGATATTAATAATTAAAAAATAGTCGTCTTCACATTCTTAAAACTTTTTTAAGTTAAAATACTATTTCAGAATATTTAATTTTTTGTAATGGTGTAATTTACTTTACATAAAAACTATACCCACTTGAAAACTTTGGCCAAATAGCTAAATCTCAATTCTTACCGCAAGGTAAAATGCCACTTATACCTAGTTTTCTTTTTCGATCTTCACATTATGAAGTATAAATTATTACAGGCGACTTCCAAAGTGTTAAGAGGAAGTTTCTCGCGTACGAATTCCATTTCATTCCGAACGCCTTTGAAAGTTTGTAACAACTTTGATACTAATGACATTATTGGCATAGTTCACAATTAAAACTGAACTAGAATAGTTGACACATAATTTTGATGGAATGCTGGGAAAATAAAAAGATAAGTAAAATGAAATTTCAAATCGATCTCAAGAAAAACTATTTATTAGAATTTTAATGTCATAAAATTAATACTGTGATTCGTAGTGGGGATGCTGTTTTTTCGTTAAATTTTTTAATATCGCATGTGAATTAAAATGAATTACATTTGTTCTTAATTATAATCGGTACAGCATTAAATCAGTCAAAAAACAAACATAATTATAGTCGCTGAGTCTACCAAACTGCATTACAGTCTAATGGTGGATTTATTATGTATTCTGGTTGATTTTTATTATTTTTGTTGATTTAAACTTTGAAACCGTAGCCATGAATATTATGTCTAGAACCACGGTAAAAAATTATGCAACCATTGTCCCAAGTGTTCTAGAATTACAACAGCTATATTATTATTTTAAAACTATTAAATTAAAAAAATGAACTAAAGTGTTTTGGCAAGTCCTAATTAAACTTACAGAACGATGCAAATTTATATATACAAGTTAGTTTCAACCTAAAAAATAATACATGTGGTGTATGACATCGTGCCTTACGGCAAATTGCTGAAACTTCCCGTACGATATATTCGAAGAACAAATTTTAGCAGATTTTTTTTTTTGAAATTAAAAAAAATTAAACAAAAAAAATTCCTCCAAAAGCAATGTTTTCGTCAACAC